TAACTACTACTAGTACTACTAAAAGTATAGCACTTAATCTCTTTAGACTTTATTATTAAACTACTAAAGTTAAGAGAACTACTTATAAAGATATATTATAATAGTATTTTAGTTATTATTAACAAACTTATAAAGTATACTTACTTTATACTATACTTAGAGTTAAGTATAATAAGAGACTTAATATATATCTTCTTAAAATATATTATTAGTAACTATAGTTTACTAAAGGAAATTATTTTTAATAAAAATAAGCTATTTAACTTAAAGTTTTAAAGATTCTTAGTTTTATAACTTAGTATAGACTATAAACTATTTACTATATTTTACTTATAAACTAATAAATAAATAAAATAAATTAATTAGATACTTAAGTAGTATTTATAATACTATATTAATTATAACTAAGATAATTAGGTACTACTATTACTTGTAGCCTAATTTACTTATATTAGTACTATTAAAGAAAGCACTTAGAACTTACTATTTTACTTAAACTATAGATTTTTACTAACTACCTATAGAGAACCTTAAGAAGGCTTATAAGTATTGAAAGCTATAACTAATATTAATAAAATAAGAGAACTTTAGAGTAAAGTAGCCTTAAACTTAGAATTTATTAGGATATAAATAAAGAAATACGCTAACACTTTAAGGATTAAGGGACTAACCTTTAAAGAGGGAGATAGCGTATATCTTTTATATAGAAATATTAAAATAAAGTAACTAAATAATAAACTTAACTATAAGAAACTTAGACTATTTAAGATTCTTAAGAAGATCTTTAGTGTTAACTATAAACTTAACTTACTTAATATAATAAAAACTTACTTTATTTATTATATTATACTACTAGAACTAGCGCTATAAGGATTAAACATTAATAACTATATTATTATTAAATTATATAAACTAAAGTATAAAGTTAAATAAATTATTAACTAATATTATAAAAATAGAGAGAAATAATATTTAATTAAATAGAAAAATTATAAATATAAAGATAACTTATAAGAAGTAGTTAAGAACCTTTAATACTCCTAAGAACTTCTTTAATATTATTATAATTCCTAGAACTAGACACTTTTACTAATAGGCTAATATTAGTAAAATCCTTACCTAAACCTATAGAACCCTAATTAATCTTATGAGGAACGCCTAGTAACTAAAGATTATAAACTATCTAAGATTTATAAGTAGAAAAAGTAGAGGCTAACTTATCCTCTTTATCTAACTCTTATATACCTTATTAAAAAGCCTCCTCCTGCTTTTCTTTTACCCTCTAATAGATCTTTTAAATCTACTAAAGATAACTTATAGCCTTAGCTATTTATAACTATACCTATATAAACTAAGAATAAAAGGCTATAAGCCTCTTTATTATAGTAGTAATACTACGTTAGTTAGATATATAACTATATTTCCTATTATAAGAATTTTAAGATAAAGAGGAAAGAAATCTACCCTAAAGGGCTAGTAGCCCTACTAGCTATTATATAGCTATCTATTTTATTTATAAGTTACCTAATAGTTCTTATAACTAGGGGTTTTTATTCTCTACCCTTTAGTAGGTCCTTTAGTGCTATAAGGTTTACTAGCTACTAGGGTATAAGTACACTAACTACTAAGGCTTAAGGCCTTAGCTATTAAGGCGTAATATACTAACTACTATAGCTATAGTATACTTACTACTAAGGTGTAGTATACTAACTATTATAGCTATAGCATACTTACTACTAAGGCGTAGTATATACTAGCTACTAAACTATACTATAACCTTATTCTTATCTATATATCCCTTATATAACCCCTCTAGCTATAATATTACCTTCAGGCAGTGAACCCTTAGAATCCTTTTCCAAGTCACGCTATGCCACGAGGGTGCTCCGATCGCCTGCCCATCCTGAGACGTCTATCCGACCTTGTCAACATTGACGGTATGTCGGAATACCGTCCGTACGCGCTCCCGAACAAACGTGCGCAAACCCCGGACATCGCAATAAGCAGACACCCGGGTGGAAGATCGACCATCGTTATCTTTGGGGTAGGTAAACGTAACTCTCGACATGAAATGCTCAGCGGCCAGC